AAGAAAGCCGGAGAGGGACTTTTTACAAGGGCATGTCGTGATAGGACAAGGGGTAATGGCTTTAAACTGGAAGAGGGTAGATTTAGATTAGATGTAAGGAAGAAGTTCTTTACTGTGAGGGCAGTGAGGCACTGGCACGGGTTCCCCAGAGAAGTTGTGGATGCCCCATCCCTGAAGTGTTCAAGGCCAGGTTGGATGGGGCTTTGAGCAACCTGGTCTAGTGGAAGGTGTCCCTGCCCATGGCAGGGGAGTTGGAACTAGATGATCTTTAAGGGTCCCTTTCAAATCAAACCATTCTATGATTCTATGACTTTGAGAATTTTGTGTTCCTGAGTAATGAAGATGTGGTCTGTTGTGTTTCAGTTGCTTATATTCTTATGTGTATTTTAGGGAAAGTCACGCTTTTTCACGGGTATTTCCCCTTCAACATGGAATCCCTTAGTGTATCTGGATTACAATAACTTCTGGAGGACCATGGACAAGCTGGGAAAAGAGGTAGGCTGTGTAAATTGCATCTGTTTCCTACAATGCTCATGTCACCACAAGTAAATCTAGTTTTGTTTTGTTTCTGGCAGGCTTTTTTATTGCTTCTTTAATATAAAAAAAAGAAACATCCATCAGGAAAGATATCTATGTGCCCAGGAACTATCAGGAATAACAGGGCTTCCTAACTGAGAGGACATTGGACTAGATGACCTTTAAAGGTCCCTTCCATCCTAAACCATGATTCTATAAGAAGGTACAAAAAGATCTGGAGGTGTCTAAGATATCTGAAAAAAATGAGGTTGAACCTCAGTATATGTACTTTCTCATGCCAGGGAAAACCATTCCATGAGCTGGGAGATGAGAAGGGTTTTTCCCCTTCCCCTGTAACAGCCTTTTTCAGTAAGGATGATTCTTTTTTGTAGCTGCCTAAGATGGGCTCCAGTTTGGCCTCATAGTAATTTTATTCTAAAATTTTATTTCTAAAATTCTTAAACAGAAAATACCTTCAAAATTCAAGCAGTACAACTGCAGATCTTCCTGTGTGCAAAAAGTAGCCCCTGGAGTGTCATGCTGTCTTTCAGATATTTATCAGTTGCTTTATAATCTGGCTACAAACCAGGGGCCCTACCTTACGATAACCTTCAAGCATAGCTAACTGTATTCCTGCAAAGTTCATTGAGTTTATGTGGTTTTGCAGAAGCAAATTTGTGCATGATACTACACATTTTTTTGGCAAATAATACATATTTTTTGAAGATTCAAATATACGACAGTGTTCTCACATGTCATGGTACTTGCATGCAATGGATTATTATTAAGAATTTAACTGTCTAAAAATAATTTAATAGTATCTAGACATCTTTGCTTCCTCTGTAGTTAAGAGAGAGACATAGGGACCTTCAGATACCCATCTGTAACTGACTGAATCTCTGACTGGAGAAAGAATTTTTCCCTCAGCTGTTAGAGGACACCAAGACAACTAAATTAGAATAGACACCTCAATTCTGGACAACTAAAGGCCAGATGAGTCCCAACATATGGATATAGTTCATTGGTCAAACAAAGCCAGATTTGGTGATCATGGTACAATTCATGCCCAAAGGTGCTAATGGAAACTATTCTATTTAGTGAATTTATTCCAAGTTTACAGCCAAATGCAGGGGACAAAAGCAACTCCTGCCCAACATATCAATCAGCTCTGTGCTACTAACTAGCTATGACCAGGCAGTGATGTAGTACTGAATAATTTCTAGAATGTTTTGCCTCTGTCTCCAGATTCCTCTCGAAGCACCATGGGACGCTCCTCATGCTGAAGAATGGGACAAAATGACCATGCAAGAGCTGATAAATAAGATATGCTGGACCAAGTACATAACTCTTTATTCACTTTGAAATCCAGCTGCAGAATGATAGTGGCTCCCTGGCAAATTCTGGGGTACAGCTGAGTACAGCTGGGGTACAGGTAGTGAGAGAGCAGGAGGTGTTTGAGATGAGGCTGGCCTTTGTGACGGGCGGTGGAGGATAAGGTGGTACACAGAGCCTGGGCTGGTTGGCAGGTGGGATTAAAGGCGCTGGGGAAACCTAGGAGCTGAGGAGTGATGTCCTCTGACTCTTGGCTATGCCCTCTCCAGTTATCAACGCATCTGCTTTTACTGCGTAGGCTGCGTCGCGTGTACCACGGAGCAGGCAGGTGCCTCTGACATGCTGGAGAGCAGCACACCGTGCCAGAGGGCAGCTGCTTTCCAGTGGTCACCCAATGGATGGGGCAGTGCAAGACCCGGGGAGCGGGGAGTGAGCAGCTGTTGGCACTGGAAACTCTGGAGAAGTTGAAATGCTGCTCCTTGTTTCAGCAGTAGTGCCTGCTGGGCCTCCGAAACCCTTGGAGGGAAACAAGGCAGCTGAGGCAACCTTTCTCATTGCCTTTCACCTCCCTGGCTGGTTTGTGCCTGAGCCCCGTTGGGAGCTCCGCATTCGTCCCAGCAAGCCTGTTGCTGTGCTCGCTCAGCTCTGCCCATTGCAGTGCACCCTCCCTCTGCTCCTGGCAAGCTGTCCTTGAATGCCAGCCAGCTCTCCTGGGCCTGTTTGCCCTCCAGGGTAGCCTCCCATGAGATGCTGCCAAGCAGGTCCTTGAGGAGGATAAAATCTGCTCTTCCAAAAGCCAGGGTTGCAATTCTGCTGTTTGTCTTACTCCTCTCGGGATCTTAAATTACACAGTGTCTTGGCCATTGCAGCCAAGACTGCCCTTCACCTTTGCATCGTCCAACAGGTCTTCCTTGTTTGTGAGTAGCAGGTCCAACAGAGCATCAACCCTAGTTGGTAGGAAGAGGGTCCAAGGTGTTGTATTACCTAGAAAATGGCCAGTGTGTTTTATATGTCTGTGAGGGACCACACTGTACAAATAAAAAAAGGAACAATGTTCAATACGAGGTGACAACAACTGGAAATACTCTTTTTTTCCTTTCCTTTTTCAATTAATTCTCTTTATAAGGCAGAGAGAACTGTGCTTGTATGAGCATTTGTGTCCCTGCTTGCAGTGCCAGCCCCTGTGCTATTCTGTAATGCTTTCCTCCCTTGTATTCAGCATCTTTTATTTGTGTGGCTGTGCTCTGTTTGCCCTTTCATTCCGAATGTGGTTTAGCACTGTGCCTGCAGCTTCCTGACCAAAACTTTCTGTTTGAAATTTATTTTGCTTGCTTAAATCTTACTCCAGCTTCATGTGATACAAGGTATGGCTGTTTGGACTTTCTCTTGCTCTCTGTGGCATTGTAGTTTTCTTTACAGTTAGTTTTATGAGCCATATGCCTGCAAACTCAGTTACTTTGAACTGCCCTTTGTGTTGCAAGTGCACTGTCTCTTCCTCTTCTAGTTTTTACTGTTCCTCTTAGTCAGGGAGCTGGTGGAGTATAAGCAGAATTGGGTTTATAGCGATCTCTCCTGTAACATGCTTCTCTGCAAGACTGCTTCTACTGCCAATGGTTTTGTGGCATTCTGGTTTTAATGGATGTGCTCAGCTGAAACACGTTCAAAAACTCAGTAAAAAGCCATTTTAGATCTTCAAGCCAAGCCAGATTTTTCTACACATAGTTAAAAACATAGTGCCCTAAGCAGAAAAGCTCTTCTGCAGCATTTTCTATATGGCTTGGGTCAAGATTATAAAAGATTTGTTTGTCATGTGTCACAGTTCAGCATCTAATGATCCTGGAGACTGTCTTCACATTTCTCAGGACTGAACCTGCTACAACTGTTTAGTGAAGTGGTGCTTTCAGGATTGTGGCAGAGGGTTCTTGCATGCAGGATATTTTCATATCCTGGCTAATGAAATAGAGGTGACTGGACTTCATACCCAGGGAAATGAGGTTATAAAAGTTTATAAGTTACATATTTTAGCCCAGATAACTTGCAGAGTTCCTTCCTGTAGCAGATGATTATAAATTCATGCGGCTTCATGAAACTTCATGCAAGTCAAAGACCTTTCACCTTCTTTGCAAAATTATCTCAATTCTCTTCGCAGTCTGCAGCCACAAATGAAAGAAATGTGAATAGCTATGTCCCCATTTCCTTCTGCTGTAACTCTGTTTACGTTCAGAGGACCTAGTGTGGTAGACGGCTGACCATCTCCTTATATTTATGGCAAGGATTGCCAATTTGGTTTCTCAGGGTTATTTACCATGTCTGATTCTTGGTTTCACAAAAGGTCTGTGCAGCAGTGTTACATGGGAGATGGGGAATGTCTTGGCTGTGTGGCTAGTTGGGTCCTTTGGGACCCATCAGACCTTGGAAATGATGTGCCCGATGAGCTCCCCATGGATGAGAAATGCAGAAGAGTTTCACTAGCTGGTTACCAAATGCATTCTCCTGTTGAGAAAAATATTTGTTCTGATGAAAGGAATAGCAGCTGGGAAACTATTTAAAGAAATAACTAAGGTGAAATCAGTGGGATTTCAAACTGAACGGGTAAATGCTTTCGGAGGGAGAGAGGTGCTGATATAAACCCATTGAAACAGTCTCACTACAGACTAAAAAATGAGACAGATATAAATCATCTTGGCTTTTCTGACTTTGGGAAAGCAGCCCTTATTGAGAATAACAAAGAAAATCCTGAAAGCAGTCAGGAAGTCACATTTACTCACTGCCTGTTTCTGCTCCTGTGTCTCACGCAGAGCTGCTAAAGAATTTGCCACCTTCTTTGTGAATGTCAACGTTACATCTGAGCCTCATGAAGTCTCCGCTCTCTGGTTCCTGTGGTACGTGAGGCAGTGTGGAGGCACAGCCAGGATTTTCTCTATCACCAATGGGGGCCAGGTACAAAATGTCTCATATTCTTCCTCCTCTCTTGAAACCATAAAGAGCAAGTGGAGTGTGGTACTACCCATCAAAGCCCTGCAATTAACAAAAACAGGACAAAACACCAAGTGCATGTAGCACTGGAGACAATCACCTTCTCACGGGGTGGAACAGCCCTCTTGGCTAACTCTGTACAATGAGGAATTTTATTAGCTAGGCTTTGGGATAAATTGGGACAATTTAATAATTTTTTTTTTTTCCTGCATTCACTTCAGCATAGTCCTTTTGTTGCTGTTTTGTTGCTTTTTGGCCACTTGAAGTACTTTTTTGTACTTCAAGTGTACTTCAGAGTGAAATAAGGTTTTTTTGATGTTGAAGCCTCTGATGACAAGAGTTGGAAGTAGATAGCAAAAGGCCCTTCCTTCTTGGGACAGCTCACGTGGCAGCATGTTTCCTGAGCTACTTCAGATTGTTTCTCGCCTTGGTCATGGCAGGTGCCTGGCTGCCTGCAGAACAGCATGGTTTTCCTGTGATTGTTCTGGATGAAGTTTCAGAAAAAGGGGAGAGGGAGCTGTCAAAGTAATTTGGATGTGATATGTCAGCACCCTTTACTGGCCTTCTACCTCAGTTAACTCAGCCTCCAAAAGCATGTGCAGCATTTCAGACTTAAGCTACCGACAGCAAAAGTGGAGAGAGTACTACACCCTTCCAAGTGTGCCGGGATTGGGAGACATTAAGAGAAGTTGCCTGGAGAGATGCAAAGTCTCCATCAACATCTGTCCATTGGGGTAAGAATAGACAACCATGTGTCAGGAAGGATCTAAGTAGAGCTAATGCTGCCCCGAGGTAAGGGCAAGACCTAAAAGCCTTCTTCCTTAGGAGCCCCTCAGCCACTTTTGCTGTCCCATGTCAGCAACTGCTAGGCACTGCAGCAAGAATTAAAATTAATCCCGGGATACTTGTAGCTAAATAAGACATGTGGAGAGGGGAAAACTTTTCTTTGTGCCCGGATGGGGCAAGCTGTCTTGGTTTCTAGCATCCTTCCCTCTCCCCTCACCCCAGTCAAAATCAGTTGAGCAAAACCGCTAAGGGTTTCTGACTTAGCAGCCATGACAACTCTTACAAAACTTCTTCAGGCAGCCACTTCAGTCTTTCAGCACAAGACGTTGTGGATCCTTTCCCCCCTGCTAGTACCAGCATGTTATATGTAAAAGTGAGCTGCTTGATATAACACTGGTGGCTGGTAGATAAAGGAGGGTTAGTGCTTCCCCTGAGCCTCTGCACAGACATCACAAGGAAATACGTGCCACAGATTGTGCTTTTTTCCAGACAGCAATGTCTTTGTGTCTTCCCAGCGACAGATAAAGCTCATTGCCTGCTGCATTTGAGGCCAGACCCAGTTAAAGATCTGTTTTGCTTCTGGGCTGGTGCAGGTTTTTGCTGTACAGACATGAGTTGGTGTCTTTGTCACACGAGGGTTTTGGTAGCACAGTGATGGGTAAAATACTCAAAACCTCTTTTTAATGAAGTGATGTGTTTATACTAGCTAGAATACCTGCATTATATGTGTTTGTTCTCTAGGCTTCAGGAGTTTTTAAGCCAGCTAATTGAGGAAGCCATTGCAAAAGTGGGTTAGGCAGCAATCCCCACTGAGCCTCAGGTTTATGCCTTCATTCTTCTGAAAGTCTGGGTCTCTTTATGCACCCTTAGGACTTTCAGATTTGGCCTGGAGTTTCTTGATTATGAGCAGAAGTCATATTCAATGTCATTGTGATTAATGCTGGTGATTTTTTGTTTGTGTTTCTTTTCTGTTTGTTTTTTAGGAGAGGAAGTTTAAAGGGGGTTCTGGTCAGATATCGGAGAAAATAATGGAACGCCTCAAAGGCAGAGTTAAACTGGAGAGAACTGTGGTCCGTATTGATCAGACAGGTGATAATGTCATTGTGGAGACTCTAAACCATGAGATATATGAGGTAATTTGATCAGAATAAAAGTGGAGTATGCATTTAGTGGGGGAATACATCTGCTGTAGCTCTTAGCCAGATGTAATCAGGAAGTACTCATTTGTGTGTCTATTTCTCGGACTACACTGACACTCTGTGAAACCAGCTTTACAGATTTATTTATGACCGGGTCTCTTCTTGGTGTTCTGCTAGTTGGTTTGTGTCATTACTCTGCCTTTTCTGCCTCAACTTCTTCTGTGATTATATATTTTTACATTTTAGTTCTGCAATGAGACCATTTCAAAGAAAGGAGAAATAACGTTCTTTTTCGTATCTAAGTTTGTGGTTTGCAGAACAAAAAAAAAAGACATTTCAAATATCTTTAGTGAGATTTAGCCTCTCTGCAGTGGTACTGTGAAATGCTCCATCAGTATGTGATCACCCTCAGTGGCACCCACGGGGCGGCAGCTCCCTTCTGCGTGCAGAGCCCTGCCTGCCACAGGGGTTTGTGCAGGACTGTCGGGGTCTGCAAGACCCCTTTCTCACCAGTGACAATGTTTGGAGGATATTTAGGGAAAGCTAGCAGAAAGGGAAGGGACTGTTTGGCACTGAAGCCGGTCTAAGGATGTCCTGGAGGAGAGACTCTCTCCCTCCCTAGGGATTTTTAAATGCTGGAGTTAAACCACTGGCTTCTCCCTCCATGCTGGCTGAGTGACAGGCCAGTCGGAGGAGATGGGCTTCCTGCACTCAGCGGCCCCACCAGCATGAGAAAGCCTGAGAGCAGCAGCGTCCATTGTGATATAGTGTCACCCTGAGCCCTGAAGCAGAGCGTCCTTCACCGCTCCAGTCAGACACAGGACCTGTGAGAGGCATGCAGCGTGTTCAGGAATGCTGAAATCACCATCAGTGTTGCTTATCTAACCACAAAACAACATGTTTTTCCCAGCTCCTTTTTCTGAAATGGCAGAATTTTTTTGGTCCCCTGGAAATATCTGTGTGGGAAAGCCAAGTAGCAGAGTCAGGTGTGGGAAAGCTGTTAACAACCAGTGAGTGTGTCTTTGAAATGTGTCCTGCAGGGCGAGCTCAGTGAGAGGCAGCACCTTGTCTGTACTGACTGCGTTTTACGTTTCAGGGCAAGTATGTGATCAGTGCTATTCCTCCGATCCTGACAACGAAGATTCATTACAAACCAGAACTGCCGCCAAAGAGAAACCAGTTAATTCAGCGTTTGCCTATGGGGTGTGTCATAAAATGCATGGTGTACTACAGGGAAGCCTTCTGGGAGAGAAAGGGTATGTGGGGAAAGTGAAGGACTTGGGACTCCCATGCTATGTGAATTTTGAAGCTCTGCTGTCTATCAGGGAATAAATCCAAGGCAGGGGGTGGTAAATATGCAAAACTCCAAAACCAAACACACAGAAAAGTGAAAGGTAAAGCTCCTTAGAAAGGAGAGCTCTTCCTCCAAGCTTGAGTGCATGCCTTGTCCCAAAGATGAGTCCAGGCCCAAATAGGGTCCTGAATCTCATTGCTGCTAGCTGAGGAGGGATGACTGAGAGAACAAGCAAGGTTTCCCTGGGAAGCATTGCTGAAACCTGCAATGCACAAAAGCAGTGACCCTGCAGCAGCAGGTCCCTGCTTCTCCCTGCCAGGGACAGCGTTAGGGCAGCCAAAGAGAATTGACAGCAGATGACAAGGAGAGCTTAAGGTGTAAGCAAGACCTTTCCCTGTTTTTAATCTTCTGTTCTACAGACCTGATACCTCAGAGGACTGGAAAAAGTAGGTTAGCCTTTTGTTTAACTCAAGATATTTTTTCCATGTGCTGCAACATCATGTGTTTCTCAGCTTTAACTGATACCATTTCCAGAACTATTTGTATGAACAGATTAGTTTTCACTTCCTATGTAATGATGCTGAGAGTTGCACTGGCCGAGAATATTTCTTAATCAAAATAATATAATCTTGCATGTTTCAGAGCATAAACCGGCCATTGGGCTTAGAAAGAAATGTGGGCAGGTTTGTACATTGTTATCTATATGGGATTTTTTGTGTGTTCATCTGAAACATGTACTGATATGATACTAGATGAGATGGCCCATGTTTCTGCTGCATTACTGTTATGGGACACCATTCCTGACAGTCTTGTCGTCAGGAAAATCAATACAGGGTGTAAAGTTGAGCCTGCAGTGACCAGATATAATTACCCTGGGTTTTGTTGCTGCTGTTGTTTTGGCCAAAGTTACTCATGGAATGAACCATCATAGTTCTTGCTAGATCCGTTTATTTTTAATCTTTATTGCCCCCAATATAGAAAGCCAAAGGGACTTGCAACAATCCACAGAAATTCCTTGCTAAGTAAAAATGGAATTTAAATATGACTTTTATAAGTCTGTGTACTAAATTTCCCAGAGTCAGAGAGGAGAGAGACTATTACAAAAACACTTCAGACATGTAGGTATTATTGGTGACAAAGAAATTACTGTACAATTCCTTTTATGGATAATTTTCCTTGCTCATTACTATCAGAACCAATGATCATGAACAAGTTTCTCTGACAATCGTTTTGTTTTCTTTCCCCCCCTTAGGTTATTGCGGTTCCTTCATCATTGAGGATGAAGAGTCTCCAATTGGAATAACCATAGATGACACAAAACCTGATGGATCTTTCCCTGCCATTATGGGGTTAAGAGCTTCTAGCCCATACTTACAGCTGTGTATTTCTTTTTGTATGAAGGAGTGGAAGGAGGAGGAAGAGGGGAAATGGCCAGGTTACATCAGTAGTGCCCACTCCTACAGTCTTCATAGATGGAAGAAAGCACTTCTGACAAGCCCCTGCTACAAATAGCCTAATACAAAGGAGATGGTTGGAAAGGAGTTGCTGAATTTAGCTGTAGTTCATTTTAAGCATTCAGTTAATATTTTTTTGCTGTAGAGTAGATTTAGAAATAAATCACTTTCTTACCTAGCTTTGCGAGCCTGTATTCGGCTTATGTTGGGCCTTGTATTTAGTGCCTCAGCCAAAAAGAAAATGTAGTTGTCCAAGAAATCCTCATTTGCCTCCTCTCCATGATGAGCTGAGGCAGGACAATGAACATCAGCTGGTGGTTCAGCAGGGCAGCAGCTGTGCAGTGAAGAAATCGGGATTCTGAAGAAACTGCCAAGTAGAAAAGTTGTAGTTTGGACAAACAGATGGGAAAATATGTAACAGCATTGACTGACTTTTAAAATAGGTTAAGCCAATATGAACAAACAATCTTTACAAATGTTTCCACTGTAATCTGAGGTGAGACTGCCAAAAAAACGGCAATATAAATGTCAGGCAACTACTCCTTAAGTATCTGGCAAGGAAAGCTTGCCACTTCTACTGAACTGTACATATTTATGGGCATGTTCAAGGCTTAAAAACTTCCATGACCTGAGAGCAATAAGCCTCCTCCAAACCCCATGTGGCAAACATTTTCCTGCTTTCTCCTTGTGGGTTTATGCAACTTTCTAAAAGAGTGCAGGAACATATGTCCATCCCCCGAGTATCTCCACTAAGGTCAGATGAACTAATCACCAAATCTGTTTCCTTCAAGCTGAATAAATATTGGTCCCAGTTCTTACAGGACTGGTCCATGACACTGGGCAGTGCTTGTCAGAGCAGCAGGCTCCCCTCACTTACTAACACCAAAAGACATGGGCAGTGGTATGGCCAGCTGCCTGCGAGACTTCAAAACTCAAGAAAATGTGGGGTCTCAGTCCTTTTGGGTAAGACCTAGGTATAAGAGGGTAGGCAGCACGTGCTAGTTTGCTGGACACTGTCATCTCTCTGCCCACTTTGGGTATAATTTTGCTCTCCTGAGTCAGTGGGGATGGAGAGTTCATTCCCACACAGCAAAATGAGGCCAGTGCTGGCAGCTTTGAAAACAGGCTTGCAATCCACAACTTTCTCATCTGGCAGCTGCCAGGAAGTCCTCTGCACCTCCTCCCCTGGGAATGCATGCTCTCCCTTTCACTTCACTCCCCAGGGTACCAGGCACAGGCCTTTTCACCCATGTGACCTGTAATTATTAAGTGATGAGGTATGATGAAAAAATGCCAAGCCTATTACATACTGGTAAAGTGCTTTACCCGTCTTTTTTTAGAGTCATTTCAAGCAAGAGCTTGCAAATCAGCTGGGGTGCTGACACTGCATGATACTTACATGCTATATTTTTCTTTTCAGTTTCATCCTTACCAGAAAGGCTGTTAAACTGGCCCATCTCAGTAAGGAAGAGAGGTAAGAGTTCAGAAACTGCAACTATATCAGAAATAAATTGATTCTCTGGGATGCTTCCCCACAAGAATATGTATGTGGGTATGTGTGTGCATATGCATGGATACACATGCTCAGTGCAACTACCAATACTGGAAATTGGGGCAAAAATTGAGCTTTTAGCATAAACAGGCTGAGACACTAATGATAATATACATCCTGTTATGGATACTTCTGAGTTTCCAAGTCCTGCCCACTCTTCTGTGTTATGACTTATCAGCTCTGTGTCTCTATGTGAACTGAGAAGATTTTTCCAAAGACATGGCCAGACTGCATCCCCACTGAACGATGCTTCACCCCAGGGATATAGGGAGTGCTGACATGCATAGTTTTGGGTGTCCTTCACATTTAGACTGGGTAACAAAATTTTTAATCCCCTGTGTTTACAACAGTATAGTTTCTCCATTAGTCTGTGAAATGAACAAACAGTACTTTCTAAATGTGGGTTTTGGTACACATGCAAGTGAAAGAGGTGTTCTGCTTAGGAACGTGAGTAGTATTCTCCAGCTCATATTTTGTTCTCAGCTATAGTAAATCTGTAGGGATTTCATTGATTTATATTGCTTCTCTTCTGGTCTTACACCAGTGAACATGAGAATGAATTGGCTCTGCATCCTAAAATAACTGTACAAAGATTTATTTTTTCAGAGCTCATTGCCAAAATCAACCTTCATTTCCCGTTCCCTGGGTCCATTTTGGATGTCACATTTAGGCTTCAGCATTTGAAATATGTATGTTAAGATAAGAACTTGAAATCAGACTTAAAAACAAAGCCAAACCCAACTTTCTTTCCAATGTATTGCAATAAATGTGATTTTTTTTTATAAGAAGAGCAATAGCTGAGAGGTTTTTTTCCACCTTTTTTTTTTCTGACTCTGATTTTATTTTCATATAGGAAGAAGAAGATCTGTGAGGCGTACGCCAAGGCAATGGGGATGGAAGAGGCTTTACATGTAAGAAATGAATGCCTGTTTTCACCCCTTTTGTACAGTAATGTTGCTCCTTTGTTCTGGATGAAGCCAAAATTCCTGGTACCTAAAATGTGTACCTAAAATTGCACATCGTGCCATGCAATCTGTGCTCCCAGGGGGAGGGCAGCAGCATCTAGTACAGGAAGAGAAGAGCTGCCAGTCTCACTCTTTACGAGAAAAGAGGAGGCAGTGCATGGTTTTATTTGTCCTGTCATTTCCCCATGGGAAGCTAGTGCTTCTGTAAAAGTGCAAAGATTTGTTTTGTGCAGATGGATAGTGTTAGCCAGATGACATGGCACTCCTTTGACAGGTATCCTTAGCCTGTTTTTTCCCTCTTCAAAGGATATTTGTTTTTTTTATTTCCAGTTTCTCTGCCACTGTTTCACTCTCTAATGTTTGCTAATACTTACAGCCTGTGCATTATGAAGAAAAGAACTGGAGCATGGAGCAATATTCAGGGGGGTGTTACACAGCCTACTTCCCACCAGGCATAATGTATTCTTATGGAAGGTAAACCAGAGAATGCTTTGCTGTTTAATTTACATTTCTTAGCTTGTGTACAATGATATACCTTATGGAACAAACTTATGGCATATGTAGCATATTAGGGGAACTCCAATCCTCTTTCCATTCCCCTGCTCCCCAGCTAAGAAGGATCTTGTTATTGACTTCAGTAAGAGCAGAGTTTCTCTTGTGACTTTCAAGGAAACCAAACACAGTGATAAAGGGACCCACTAGAGCCACAAAACCTTCCCCCACTAGGTTACTTACAGTAGTTGCTGCTACACAGTATTTGCAATAGATCCCTTTAATGCTTTCTGAGACCTTGAGGGCACACATCTTGGACAGATGAAGAGTCTCCACTGACTGTGTAGGTGGAGCATCAGGTTCTGGTGAAGCCCATTGAGTCACATCACAAGGGGAAGACGCAAAACCCTTACGTGAAAACTCGTTCGCTTCTCCCACCCAGCAAAACCTCCCATGCCCTCCCCATGCAGAACTGCTGTATTCCTACAGGAACATGTTAGATAATACTGATGAATACTAGGTATATCACTGAGAAGTGTGTGAAAGGCATGGTTCAGCACGTAATAGGAACAGCCAGACAAATCTTGTATCCATACTCAAAGACCAGACAAACCACATAGCACATCGCAGCATGAGCTCCTTAGCATGTCCATCACAGAGTTACACCCTGCCTCTGTGCCAAGATACGTGTGAGAAGTCATCTCGTGCACAGACTCTTGTGTCGTAATATACCTGAACTCTTGGGTAGTGATGGGTGAGGCCTCTGACCTGGGGAAGATGGTGTCAGGCAGACAGGGAAAACCTAATCGGGGGTTAGATGGGAGCCCTTAGAGCAAGCACATCTCTCTATGGGAAAGGGAGCTCATTACCTATGGGTGGGTTGACCGCGATGCTTGTGCAGCTTTGCACAGCTGGAGGGGCTGGTTTATATGACCCTGCGGGGTGAATGCAACTCCCTGAATGCTAAGGCCTTCAGCTGCCATCCCCTTTTGGCAGGACTTGCAGGCTGGCAACTCCAGCCTCCAAACAGAAGCTGGTATTAGTGACCTGCCACTGCAAAAACATCATTCACATCCCATTGTAATGGCAGGATAACATAAATCTATCAGCTGCACTGCATTGCTGGAGGCTGTTAGGATTATCCCTTATTCCAGCACTAAAATAAGGTTCGTATTATTTTGCACAGAAGCTGGGCACGCTGATTTATGCCTTACATTTTCTCTCTCTCAGATCTTCATTTTTGTGTACAGAAGCAAGTAGGTGGTCCTGCGGGGACAGCTTATTGCACCATGGTCCCCAGCCCAGGTCTGCAGGAATTCTGGAGAACTGAAGTTGAGCGCTCCATCAAAGCCCATAAATTGCTTTTAGAAGGATCATCGCCTTCCTGTTACTTGTCATCTGACATTCTCCATTTGTTTTGAAGGATCATTCGCCAGCCCATTGACAGAATCTACTTTGCTGGCACGGAGACAGCTACCCAATGGAGTGGATACATGGAGGGGGCTGTACAGGCAGGAGAGAGAGCAGCCAGAGAGGTACAGACTGTTGGTTTGCTTTCAACGTCTCTATTAAAAGGTTAAAAAGGATTAAGTACAGCTTGGAGGGTCTGATTTCGTGCATCACACCGTGTAGTTGTGCAGAGGCTCCTAGAATTAGTGGGGAAGAATCCCAGAAAAGGATGAGAACCAAAGCCTTTTTTTAAAAAAAACCAAACTTTACTTAGTTTATTATTGAATAAAGTGAAGCCAAGAATCTCACACAAATCAGAACATTAAGCAGTGTGTTGCTGCACTGGAGACTTAAAACGAAGCTCATGCTGTATACCTAATGTCTAGAGGAAAATAGCCTCCAATCTGATGCTGCCCTTAGATATACTAACACAATTTCTAAGAAGTTAATCACTGTATGTTTTAAAAGTAAGTTACAAATGCTCACAGCTATTTCCTATGCAGCAATCTGGAAATCTGAGCATTGTTCTCTTTTTTGATCCATCCCTTCTGCTTCTCCTTTTACGAGAAAGTACGGTTAGCTTGGCTTTATGAATTCGTAATGGGCGGCTCTGATAATGTCTAAATCTCCTCAGAATGACACGCATTGGGCTGGATTCCCAGTCACAGTGAAATCCCTTTACAACAGTCTGGAGGGAGGGGAAAAAAAACCATTAAAGGGTGTACATTACAGTTACAACAGCTGTATGACAGAGCCATGGAGCTGTTATTTAAGGGAAGATCAGCCCTTTGCTTCCATTTGACAGAACATCATATTTGCCTTATAATCCTCATTACTTGCTTTGTTTCAAGTCACCTAATTTCTCTTTTCTTTTCTCCATGCCTGTGAGGAGTAGTTACAAAGATGGTTAGTTGTCTCTTCTGGAGACATTCATTTGCCCCGAGAACCACCGTGATTGTTATTATCAGTTTATTCTCTAGAAAAATCCTTGATGAGCTTTGTACTGCCTGATTAGCCAAGAGATAACTTCGTAATTCTATGCTTTGAAAGCCCCAGAGTTGTATCTCTCCTCTTTCTTTTTTGTGATCCAAGCGGCATCTTTCCTAACAGGCTTTGTGTCCCGAGTGTGTGGTGGTAACCTCACCTTGCTGTTTCTCAAACTATCACGTGAAAAAGCATTTTTACTTGTACTCAGAAAAAAATTTAAAATAAACATCTGGAGAAGCTGTAGTTTGTGTGGATTTCTGAGTGAAGTCCTACTTTTTACAAATGACTCTGTGAAACTGTCCTTTTATCCTTAAAACACTGGTTAGGCACACGACCATTTGATGACCAGCTGTCATATATTTACACAAACTACCAAAACTGCCGCCTCCTTCTCTCTTTGCTGTCGTAAACAGAGAAATCACTATACGTTTTCTGGTTCAAAGCACTTTCAGGTAGTCATAAAGCCTTTTGTCAATGTCACCTTGCTCTGACTTGCTCTGCTTTTCTAAAACTGAAAGTAGTGTGGGTTTTAATTTTTCTCACATGGTACAAACGATTTTTTCTTCTAGATATTGCATAGTATGGGGAGGATCTCAGAGAATGAAATTTGGATGCCAGAGCCAGAGTCGAAGGTAAGCCAGACTTTCTTGTTGTCACCTGGTGAGGCGCGCACCCCTCAGTCAGGCTGTGGTCCCTGCTTTGGCGATTCCTGTGGGACCTGCCCCCGGGCAAGGTTTTGGTTACCTCACACGCTGATGGTATTCATTTTTTTGACCTGTCCAAGGAATATTGTTACCCCTGTCTGAGGGGTGAATGGCCAAGACCTCAGAGTGTGGGGGACTACAAAATGCAGGAAATCAGCTTGGTTCTGCCCATTCCCAGGCCATAATTTTAAGCCAAAATAACCTCCTTCCAGTCACAAGTAACTCCACCTTCACTGTCCTGTGGCTGTTTGGGATGACAGAAAATACGCATTTCACAGCCGTGACCCTCCTTCCCCCAGAGTCTGGTCCTTGGGAAAAACCTGTGATCTCCCCAGACTAGTGGGGGATGTTTGTCACCTCCCCGCTCACGCGGTACCACTACCTTGTGATGGTACCATCTCCTCTCTCCCCCAGGATGTCCCAGCCCGACCATTCACCACCAGCTTCTGGGAGAGGAACCTGCCGTCCGTGCCAGGACTACTGTGCCTGCTTAGCTCTACCGTGTGTTTCACCTCTGTGGCTGCTGCGGGGCTGTTTGCCTATAAAAAGGGACTACTAATTCGAAAGTAGTGGGGACCACACGTCCAGTGGAAGCTGCATACTCCCTCTTCTTCCCTTTTACCAGATGAGTGTTACTTTTGAAGAGAAGTGGCATGGACAGCTGGAAAGGTCAATAGTTGTTCTTGTGATTTTTCTTTTGAGTACCATAATTCACGCATCAAATCTATAGCAGTTGCTACCAGCTAAACAGAAATAAATCAACTGTGGGAGCGTTCTTCAAATTTGCCTTTTCCTTGTCCATTTGTTTTGATTGGACATGATAATATCGATGGTATATTCCTAATACAGGGGAGGCAAAATGCAGATCACACCTTTCCCAAGAGGCAAAGAGGCCTTGGAGAACACATTCGTTTCCACTTGCTGCTTTATTTTTTACCACCGGAGATAAAATGCCCTTATGTATTCGTCTCAGTTAGCAGCTCAGAATATCTGAGGTTATTCCCATAACATCCCCACTGCACAGAAGAGATTAGCACGCCAATCAGATGTAGAATTGCCAAATTAATTTTCAAATGCATTTGATTAATTATTAATCATCGCAACATGAAACTTAACCATGAGCTGGATGAAAAGAGGTAATTAGCATGAAGCAGCTCACTAAGCGGCGAGAGAGGAAGTGCGAGTGGACTTTATTCTGCCCGCTACCGAGCAAACATCTGCGCTTATCTGTTCTGCAGGGTGCCTGCGTTGGTGCGGCACGGCCATGGCGCGGTTCTCGGTTACTTCCTGGCCCAAGAGCATCCCATCCAGCCCAGACGTTTGCTGTTAAAGCAGGGTGAAATGAATTAGCGAAGTTAAAGCCCCTCCGACTTGCAGCAGGTGCTAGCTGTTATTTTCCAAATGGCAGCAGCTTCCTGGCTCCCTGTCAACTCGCTGCCCCTCGTTTTGCTCGTAATCTGTACCGCCTTCCTCCAATAAGGAGAAATAAATTGGGGCTTGAATTACTGCCTTGTAAATTACAGTAATTGGATGCATCTGCCTGTTCCGCTCTTATTATGTACATGATACACTTAAAATAATCACTTTAGTGTTTAACTGAAGTCTGGAATATATGTTTCACAACGTACCATCATTATGCGGTCTTTTTGCCATGAAATGTGAGCATTGTACGTGTCCATGAACTCAGCTGTCATTCATCATGGGTGAAATGTGCCTTTCAATGGTCCTGGAACCTTGATAAAAGGAGCTCTTCTATAAACTTTTCTTCAGATTCTTTCTTGTGTCGTTTTTTGTGAGTTTGTGGAAGATGGTGTTTCTTTAGTATGTTAAATCACTAGGCACATCACACGCAGCAGCCACCAAATCCTTACTCTGCTCGCTATGATCCTTATGTGTACGCCAACAGAAATACCTACCTACCCAAGATGACCTCGCTTCTGGCCTCTGCTTCAACCATATTCATATATCCTCTCGCTTTTTTGTACAAAAGCCTTGCAGACACCGTAAGTGCAGGCCAATCTCAGCCTAGGTGCTGGTGGGCTCCAAACCAGAAGCCATTTCCAGAGGGATGGGGTGCTTCAGGCAGCCCCTTGTCATCAGATGTGAGCAGGTGCTCACGGTGCCAGTGTTAACCACCGCACAGAAAAGGCTGTACAGACAGTACATGTCTCCTGAGTTACTTTGTTCATTGTTTGCCGCCATTCTGCGTGAGGATCAGCCAGCCACTACCAGTTTCTCTGGGGGAAAAAAGCCTGAACAGATTATTTATAAGAAGACTATCTACATTTTCAGCTTTCAGCTTCAACTTGCCAATCTACCTTGAGCTTACACATGCACTCCAAATTACCATCAGTGGAACGAGAGAATAGTCTCAGTAGGAAGCAGCAATGTTGGATTTTGCACACAATAAACCGTAGTATTAAATGCTTGTTTAAAGGATTTTTGACAGGTCATTTGACAGGTCAGCTTAGCATCCACCTTCGGAACCTTCGCAGGGGGGAAAAGTGACTAACGTGAATTGCTGTTTGGCTCGAGGGCTCCCTGCTGACTCTGTTCTCCGCAGCTCCAGCCATTACCGAGCCAGGATTCCTGTGCGCTAGGACTACCCCGTGCATGCAGCGTGGCACAGCCACAGTGCCTGCCCGAGGGCTCGGGGAGGGAGCACAGGCTTGCTCCTGACAAGCCTTTTGTGGCGTGAAACGGTTCTGCACCGTTACACGCTTCACCCGGGGGGATATTTCCACCGCCTGAAAAACACTGTCCATAGCTGTTCAAAAAAATTCATCCATACGTGTATTTGTGGCAATTACAGCCATTCATTTTTGTGCTGACTTTAAACTTGACATCTGAATTTCACAGCTTTTGTGTGCACATGCAAAAGAGATCCCAAATCATCTGGAATATACCTGTGAGCCGACACTGTCCAGCTTTGCTTTTCACCTTATCCATGCACATTTCTGTTGCAATTTGGGTTTTGAAGTGCAAGTTCAATTCAGCTGAACTAGTCTCAAACTGTTAAACGGGGCCAGGTACTATGTTCCCCACTTCACAGGGAAATAGCACGTCTCACTGCTGTGGGAGTGGTAAGCAGTAAATGAAATGAAAGAGGTTGATTAAAATTGGCATTTCTGAAACTCCTGCAGCTCCCAGGCACCATGCTGCTGCAGAGAAAGGGCAGCGTTTGTCAGAGATTATAGACCAGTTTCCATCCTGCTTTAATGCCCTTTCTGACAATCAGAACAATTTCCCTGTTTAAACATTAAACATTTAGCTTAAATATTAAACAACCAGGCATCTTTCTTAAACCAATTTTGAAACAGAATGGGACTGAGTTTATCACTGCTGACAACTCTCCAAGCGAGCTGCTGCCATTGTTAAAACCGTGAGGCTGAAGCACTGTGGAAACACCTTTTTCTGCTGGGGACAGAGCAGAGTCCTCACCCGGACCGTGGAGTGGGAAAGCCTTTGGTGACCTTCCCTATCCAGGGGTGCTCAGTGCCCCACTTTTGGGAGGAAGAGCCCTGCACTCCCTTGGCAGAGGTGGGAGATGCTCTGTCCTCTCAAAGTAGGAGGTGAGACGGGAGAGGCCAAGGTCCACACAAAGTCCATCAGCACCAGGGTGGGAACTGAATTGCATTGACACACCTGGGAAATGGGAAAGCCTCAGGTGAAAAGGCTGCTGTTTGCTGCTTGGAAATAAAGCAAAGACAAGAGCAAGCGCTGGCAGAAGGAGCAGCAGAGGGGAAAGAGAGGAGAAGATAAAAAAATAGACTAATACTCCATACTAGCAGTGAAATAAGCAGCACCACGGAGCAGATAGGTCAGGCAGTCTGAAATAAGCAAGCGGAGATGACGCATGTGAGACAACCTGCCTCTTTTTTAAATTAAATTGCTGGTTTTGCTTACAGATACCACTTCAGCTGTGCCCAAGCCCCTCACAGCATGTCACATAACTAGCCTTTCAACACCTTTGAGAGCTACAGAAATGGGTACCAGTGATGGGAAAACACTCCTGTGAGACTCTCATGCTTCCCACCTCCCTTCTGCCCTGCTCCCCTCGGCTGTAGCACGGCTGCCCCCTCCCTGGCTGCCATCAGCCAGCCCCACGGGGATGGACGGGGACCTTGGAACAGGACAGGCTGCTGGGCCACCAAGAGCTGGACGGGCAGGAGGTGCAGGAGAAGAGCCGCCGGTTGGCTTTTTTGCACCGTTGACCCAGCGAGGCTTTCCTTCCCTCATCATCTGACTGTCATGCAACCTCCAAAATGCCCGGCGTGGGAACTGACAACCCAAACCCCTCCGGTTGGAAACCCACTACGTGAGAGGTCTGGGAAGGGGCCACCATCACGAGGATGAAGCGCTGGGTCGCAGGGGCTGCATGCTTTGGTGCAGTGGATGCAAACCTCCCCCAGGTCCGGCAGCGTCCCTCCAGCCGTGTTCCTCACGTGGGGCAAGGGGGAGGTCTGACCAGATCTGCCCGGGGTGCTAAAGGTACATCCAACCTCAAAAATCCACTCTGGGCAAGCAAGTGGCTGCAGCCTGCATTTGGTCTCTTCGATAGTCATTCACCAGCAATAATTTCCAGTCCACGTTTGATCCAGCCCCTGGTTTCACACTTGATCTCTTTTCCCAGGATGAAACACACCCCCAACCACTGGCAGAAATTAGCATTATATAGTCGAATAAAAATACCACCCAGAGGGATGTGCCAATGTTGCGCAGTCTGACAGCCCATAACGTGCAGGTTTCCCACCAGTCGGTTCCCACGTCCCATTGCCCAGATTCTGCTGCCTGACAGCAAGGGCTTTCCCCAGCCAGAAACCACTCCGGGAACAAGCTGGACACTTTTCTTATGTTCTCTGCACTGAGCTTAGCTCCCAGTTCCTGACAGCAGCATCAAGAAATAGAAAAATGGGCAAATCCAGAGAGTCCTCTTCTGTGAAAACATGATTTTAGTCCATTCTCTTCTTTTCCTTTTGAGCTGTTTCTCTTCCATGGAGCAGTTGGAAGCAAACAATTTTGCTTTGTAAATATTCCCTGCAACAGTTGCGTTCCACACACACGCAGAGAAAGCAAATTTCATCTTGGTGAAAATCCAGAAGGGGAAATTAAATGTGCTCTTTATTAGTGAAGTTAACTTCTTCTTTTCCCACTCAGCTCCTGCCCTTGGCAATCAACGCTTGGGGCTCTGGTTGCAATTCCTGTTGTTCTTTTGTAGAGCTTGGCTTCCCAGTTTTTGTTCCCTGTTTCTTGCTCTGTTTGGTTTTTTCTTTTTTTTTTTTTTCTCATCTTAAGTAGCAGAGACAGAATAACCCAGGACACATAGAAGAAACAAGGAAAAAAGTTTCCCAAGTGAGAGTGCATTACTTAGGAGAGGAAAGGAAAGCTTTAGCAGAGCTGTGCTGGGAGCTTGCTGGGTGCCAGAGGAGGGAGGACAGCAATGGCTCCGAGCTGCCTGTCTCCTCTCCCAGGGGTCCCAGGAGATGTGCTGTGCCCCGGCCTATAACCATGAGCGGATCAGACAGGGGTGTGAGTTTGCACTGCCTATGACCGTACCAAGCACAAGACGCTATAAGAAGACAGACGTCCTTTGCCATCTCTGACTTCCCACTGTTACTCTTTCTCTACGAAATTAACGGTGAGCTCCGCTGCCACTCACAGTACACGAAAGAGCTTCCACTCGAGATGATGGGGTTGAAAATGAAGCAAAGGCCATAATTACTGCTTGTGCTGGCATTTGGACTTTCACGGTCAGACCGGTCACTTGAAAACTCCTTGGATTATAGCTTGAGCACCATCATTTCCATCCAAACGTTGGTTAAATCCAGGTCTGGATTTAATT